AGCTGATGGAAGCAGAGACAGACATCCACAGATATACACTGAGCTGAAATCGGGAATTTAGTTGAAGAGAGGGAGGAATGTGCGTGCGTGCGTGCGTGCGTGCGTGCGTGCGTGCGTGCGTGCGTGCGTGCGTGCGTGCGTGCGTGCGTGCGTGCGTGCGTGCGTGCGTGCGTGCGTGCGTGCGTGCGTGCGTGCGTGCGTGCGTGCGTGCGTGCGTGCGTGCGTGCGTGCGTGCGTGCGTGCGTGCGTGCGTGCGTGCGTGCGTGCGTGCGTGCGTGCGTGCGTGCGTGCGTGCGTGCGTGCGTGCGTGCGTGCGTGCGTGCGTGCGTGCGTGCGTGCGTGCGTGCGTGCGTGCGTGCGTGCGTGCGTGCGTGCGTGCGTGCGTGCGTGCGTGCGTGCGTGTGTGTGTGTGTGTCTAGGGAAGAATGTGAGTGAAAGCCAGAGGACGACTTGCCGGAGCTGGTGGTCTCGTCCCACTGTGTGGGTCCTGGAAGTGAAAGTCAGATTTTCAGATCAGGCAGCAGATCCTTCACCCACTGAGCCATCTCTCGGGCCCCTATTCATGTTTTCCAGGTTTATTTTTACTTACGTGTATATATATGCACAGGAGAGTGCATTTCTCATGCACAAGAGAAACTAGAGAGGACACTGGCACTCCTGAAGCTGAATTTATGAGCGATTATGAGCCACCTGACATGGGCTCTTGGAAATGGAACTGGAGAGTTCTCTGGGAGAACAGGAAGCACTCTTGACCACCGAGACATCTCTCCAGCCCAGAGCTATTCCTGTTTCATTGATGGTTGTTGCACACGGTTTTAATTAAGTTTTACGTGCATCTCTTCTTGATTGCAAGTGTTTAGATCTTTTTGGTGTAATTAATACACCCAGGCTGATTTCCTCCTCTCACTAACTCTCTTTTTTGTGCCCCCCCATCTTTTTCTTGCTTTTAATTAGATTAAGAGAGCTCTCTATACTTACTTTTTAATTCCCATAACTCTTTTTTTCTGTCCATTAACACTGGTTTTCAGTTTTAATAATTAGACACACCGGGACCAAGAATAAAGAAGTAGTGGACTAGAATTAGTGGATCTGTCTGAAGAAACCAGAATCCCAAATTTCATTTCTGAGAAATGAGACTGTTAAAGCCACCCCAGACTCCGTGTTTTCTTGTTGTTTACGTGTTTTAAACTTCCCAGTTAGTCCCTACGAGCAGGGCTTCGTATGTTTATGAAACAGATGCTCTCCCTTTGCCCATTTCCTGTTCACTGGCCCCTGCACCTTCTCCCGCCTGGAGTCACACTCTTTAATGAGTTTAAGTGTTCTTTCATGAGGGTAACAATATTTCTCAGGATATATCTGTAAATACTCTATCCCCCTCTTTGTTTAGCTGGAACGTTTCAGGAATCTAAGTTGACATATTTTTTGCCCCTTTCTAACTCATTGTCAGTTTGACCCCTTTCCAGACTCTGTAGGTGAGTTCTCTGTCTTTCTAGAATTCCTCTTGATGACCCATTAGACATGATCATTCAAACCTCCATCTCTCTACACCTTTGTTTGTTTTGGGTTTTGGTTTTTTGGCTTTGTTTTTGTTGTCTTCACATTTTGTGTCTTTCTTGGTTTGCTGGGATTTATTTTCCACTTTACTAATTCTCTCTTCAGTTGTATTCCCCACACTGTTTATCTTACGCCTGCTTCAATGGTTGTAGCTGTCATCTACCAAAGACCTAGTCAGTGCATTTTCAAACGCATCTTCTTTTTAACAATATCCATTTTTCACCCTCTGTTTTAAATTCTTCCTTTGGCTTGTTCCTCATTTTAGTCATACTTATTAAAATTCCTTCTGATTGTCATATTCTTGGAGTGAATTCTCCAATTTGCTGTCTTCTGACTTCCCCGTCATTGATTAACTTCCTGTGATTCTAATGTTTTAGGATTGTTTCTAGGCTAGCCATTTTTTATTTAAAAATCTCTGAGAATTTAATAGATGAGTACTATATTCATATGGTTTCTGCCCTTTCCTCTTTCCCTCCAATTCCTCCCATGTGTCGCAGACCCCCTCCCAAAGTCATGGCTGTTTTTCCTAGAATTACTATTGTTTTACACAACACACATTAAAAACCCTACTGAGTCCGCTTAGCATTGACCATATGTACACAGGTTTGGGGCCTCCTTCTAGGAGTGCTGCATGTTGTGGATCCTGGCTGTGGACTTGCTTTGTACTTTTTCAGGACTCTTGAGACTCAATGGGTCATGGGTGAACTTTTTACATCAAAGTCTCAGTCTCAGGATTCACATACAAGAAGACTGAAAAC